TGCAATGGCCCATCAAATAGATATCCATTGGCAAATACAAAACTTGTACGTGAAAGTATCGCATAATAGATATTATTATAAAAGGGATAATAAATCAAGAAAGCGTCAAAGAAAGAAATAAAAACAAACAAGAGTCATCGTTTCTTGATTACAACGTATTTGATAACATTTCTCTTTTATTTCATCCTCATTCCGTAATTTATATTTCGCATATAATACTGATAGCATTGGTCCCACCAGTAGACCGCCTAATAGAAAACGACCCTTAAAGCAATTCGAGATAATTTTATTATCATTAACTTCACTACATCCTTTGATAAGTCTATTTTAGGAATAATAATTAACCATGAAGATAGCATTGCATGAAATTTTATTCACTCCAGTCTATCACTTAAAACAATACAGTAGTCATCATAATAATTAATAGCAATATTGCCGATGATATAAGCGATGACATTACTATCAACATTACCCGTAACAGCAGTGAACAACGTCAATAATAAGATTAGCTTCACCTGAATTCTGCGGCATCGATTTCGAATGATTTTCGTTGAATTATTTGTGGTTGTTTCAGGAACTAATTTGGCTAGCAAGTAGAAACGATAGATCGGATGAACGATACAACCACCTTGAATAGGAGGTCGTTAAACTTGTTCTTACTTATTCACTTATCAATATAAGAAACAATCTGTCTGACGAGCATTACTTTCAGAAGTTTCAGGGATTAAGACAAGATAATGATGAAAAGACGTTGAAGGATATTACCAAGTAATGAAACCATAAACAATTTCATACAGTGTTCAACGCTAAAAGTGATTCTGATCCGTGATCAGACAATAATGAATGATAATGATTACAACGAAATTACCAATAACAGATGCAAGTTGAGCGCCTTTGAAGGCACCGAAGATGGCGACTTCAGTGAGAGGTTTTGGGATGTTTGCAAGCGATTCTTTGGATTGATGCACGCGCGAGAACTGAGTGAAATTGTAAAACCAATCCTCGAGACCGATCATTTCGATTGAACGATCGTTCGCTCACTTGCTTGGCTAAATATATCAGCTATTTATTCATACTCCTTCAAAATACATTCAAAACACATTCAATCACTCGTTCCTTTATGGTTTCTTTAATGAATTTTTCTTAAGATTATCCTCAACCATTGAAAGAAATACCCTCTTAAAGCTAATGATTCTTCCTTCGCAAAAAATTTCTCTTGATGCAAATAATGGCCAATCACCCTAACGAATGAATATAAATTGCCTGAACA